TTAAAATATGTAAAAAAACAAAATAAAATATACGTGTTTAAGCGTTTTTTCGGAAACTTGACCGTTTTTTAAATAAAAAATATTGTAATATTTGAAGGGTTCTTTTGGGTTAATGGGGAAGGGTTATTGTAATATTTGAAGGGTTCACCTTCTTGGAACTGAAATTTCGAAAAATCCCTTCTTATCGAACCTCTACACCCTAGAATCAACCTGTATGTCAAAATTGAGCTTCTTACGTTGAGTGGTTTGAGCAGGATCGTGATTAATCAGTATGTCAGTCACTTAAGGATTTTATATATTAGTATAGATCTAACTCGAAGAAGAATATTTTCAGGCATTTTAGGAATCTAGGTTTCGCTGTTGATGGTATGCCCCTAAATTTTTATAAATGTCATTCCAATAACGCTTCTAAAATTCCTGGGGCCAACCTTATGGAATGTATTATATGACGGTTTGTTTGAGCTGATATGCCCGGTGGTGTAACTTTGCTTGACTTCCCAAATGATATTGCCATGGTTATCGTAGGTGAAAATTAAGAGATCCTAATAAATTTATGTATAAAGTATGAGCTCATAATTTTAATAGGAAGGTCCTCCGCCTTTCAGTTTTTCTATTTTGTCCTCATTATTAGAAATTCATATCTCAGTATCTATTATTTGGGAGAAAGAAGGAAATTTTAAAAACATCCTATCTGTTTTCAGTCGCTTTTCAAAATGCCTAACCAGAAATTAAGTATATTAAACAATGAAAATATTTGCTGTACATTTCTGAAAAAGATTTGCAAGCTTATTTTCAGACATTCTTAAAAATTCCTAAGACTGTCTGGTCTTGTACAAAGTATTTTACGCGGTAATGCTTTAACTAACCTAAACTTATACAAGAAACATTTCTTGAACAAATCTGTTTCAAAATTATACGTTATATATATGTAATTTTTAACACGTTGAAATATCATCACTAATAGATTTTATAATCCAACGATTTTATTCCAAATAAATGACCCAAATAATGTTTCATTATTCGTAAGTTTCGTATTTTATTTCTTTTAAGTGTATTAATGTTAGTTGTACCTTCTTACTACTCTGTTTAGACACTAAAATATTTGGTTCTATTTAAATTAATCTAGGCTCCATGTTTTTTTACAAAATAGTATTCCCAATCGTCTGATGAGGAAGAAAATAACTTTGAAAATTGCAGTATACAACATCGACAAAAAATGCATTTACCCCGTTGATGGATTGATCGTAAATTTTATTACTACACTTCTCCAGAAATTGAAGTTTTAAAGAGTTGTCTATCAAATACATAATCTATCAGCTATTTCTAAATTGCCTTCGTTATATTCGAGTCACGCGCGTCAGTTAAAAGATGACATCTCGAAAAAAGGCTAACCAAGCTTAAAAACGTTGCTAGTTTTTGTAAAGGCAGTATTTTTATTCTCGTATATTTGCAGTTGTTGGAAACTTATATATTTATTTCTTATTGTGCGTTTATTTTTATTTCTTAATATGCCTTGATAATTTTAGCTACATTACGATAAATGAACTTTCATTGTCTCCACTTTTTGGGTAAACTTCAAAACTGATTATTACTACGTTCGACTGAAAATTACTTCACTCGTTATTAACCAAAACGTACATTATGATCCAACTTTATTAGACATATTATTATTATTTTAAATAGCAAAATAAAACACTAATGTATCAAAATACGTTCTTCCAAATACGCGTTTCGGTAACATTTTCAGCAGATGATTAAAACTGAACTGTTTCAGAGTTTTTTAACATCTGCTGCCATCTTTGTCGAAGGATTCTTTTTTAACTTTGGGTAGGTGCAGCTGGTTCCAATAAAAGTGAATACGATTTAAAACATATATATTTTTATTATTTCGGGGAGTATATTCTATAATACCAGTCCCCCATTTCTCTACTCATGTCATGCTGACATTCTGAAAAATTTAATTGCTACTTTGTAAAAAAGCAAAGTTGTTTTATTCAATGTCATAATAACCTTAACATGTCAAAATACTTGACACGTAAATATACACTGCTCAAATATTCAAAAAAATGTGTACAGAGTCGTATTCATTTTTTTGGAACCAGCCTGTACCATTATGGATCAAGTTGTTAACTTTATCGTAATAATCTTCTTTATCTAATATAACAACCTTATTTTCCGTGTCTGCTTTTGGTTTCGTTAACAAACTCTTGACAACCTTGTGCTCCTTCATAGATTTTAATGATTTACGCCAAAGGATATTTTTGATAGTTGATTTCTACACGCCCTTCTTGTAAATACCTTGGCCAGGTGCTGAATAACAATTTCAACGCCCACTACGATTTCCTCCAAATACTAGAATTGGGTAATGCAAAGGTTTTGCATTACTCTTAAATGCTGGATGCGCATTTTAAAAAACGATATTTAGTTTTTTAAAACTATGTTTTGTTCTAGGAATTACGTTTAGTTTTAGAAACTAGGCTGAGTTTTAATTATCTGCTGATGATGTTAATATGGTTAGCGGGATGTCCGCCCGGTGTTTAAAAGTAAAGTGTTTTGATTTATTGTGGTGAATTAGTAGATATTTTATTTTGTTATTGTAACATCAAACATTCCATCCCCCAACTGTAATATTCTAAACAGTCTGCATTAAAGTATATTATACCCAATAATAGAATACTTTAAATATATAATTAAAAAAAACGTTTATCTAATTTTCAAGTTTATAATCGACGGTTGATATTAATAATAATATAGGTAACTCTATTTTTAATATAATTAATAATGAACTAAGGGAACATGATGGCTGCAAACGGGAGATAAAGTATACACTTATAAGGCCTCAATGGTATTCATTTGCTGGCATAAATACAAGTACATAAAAATTTGGTGCCAAGAGCAAAAGAAAACAAAATACACGGCTACCATATTTCCATATTTAACGTTATAATTTTCATTCTATAGCCCTGAGCGAAAGCACCCAGTGACAGACAGTATAAAAAGAAGATCAACGTTGCCAGTGGTTTGATCAAATTTTTCAGTGAAATCTTATTTTATAGAATAAGTATGCCTATATATATATAAAGTTGTTACTCTGCTACAAAATATTTGGACACATTTATGAAAATATTTTCACTATGGCAGAACTTTCGAAATTAGAGGAAGTTGGCGGCAAAGTACTTTTTTATTATTGGATCTGATGGAAGGTTGGATTAATGGAGAAAGTTTATGTAATAATTCAAATGTTTACTGTCTGTTCTCGAAATACTTAACTGTTCTCCATAAACGCACAACCTACTATCGCTAAGAATTGTCCTATTCAAGGTGTATTTCAAAAGATTCTTACCTCTATAACTTTTTGATTTTATTTTAGATGAAAAAAATGAGATTTTGTATGTTAGTATGTGACATAAATCAGGATTGATCGACATATTAGTTTCGGTCTGTTATGTCATCACTGATGGTAAAAGTCATTTACTTTTAGCACTGGGTGCAAGTGTCCCAAGCTTTCCTTCTCTCAAAATAAAATACCACTTTTAGCACTTATATCATAAATAACTATTATTTATTTAATGTATTTTTACAATTTTCTAACATATGGCAACGTGAAAACCAAAAAAAAAACGGTACGGTTTGCGGCGCGGCGTATACGAAAACTGTGGGAGTCGAAAAAATATGACGGGATTATACGACGCGCATTAAAAGTAATAAAGTATAAACATGCCGTGGAGAGCGAGCTTTTTCCGATCCCCTCTCTCCTTCTATCGTTTTTCCTTTTCCAACCGTTTCCTCTTTTGAGGACAAATGTGCGGCCTCAACCGAGGAAACTCTTTTTAGGTCGAGGCATTCCTGGAATATATCAATTTTTTCGCTGAGTGGATTCTCCGCAATTTGAGGGTTTTTATCATTTCTTACTTAAATGTAATGTACCAATATTTGGGTGCAAATACATTAAATATAATTGATTTATCACAACATATTGAAGTATGATGAACACTAATTTAGAAGTATAATTCTCAATTTAGAAGAAAGAGAACATAATATGAAACAATTAATATAATGTTTACTAAATGTTTTATGAACATCTTCTAAAATTATAATTATGAACCTTTAAAAAATTTCGTTATAGCCGAAATAGCCCCAATTATGCTCCACTAGCAAAACCAATGATTAAAACTATACTCGCTACCGTAGTTGTTAACTCATCTAAAACGTTTTTTTAACTAGAATAATAAATTATAATATAAGTTAGACCTTCTGAAGATATCAAAATATTTACTTTTTTATTTTTATTTTTATAATTTTCACAAATTATACTTCCTAACACTTTTAGAATAATTAAATAATAAATTTTTCGTATTCTCGCTATTTAATCCCGTGTATTTGTAAGTATTAGTTGTTTACGATATTCTCTCCCATTGTGGCAGCACCGGCGAAGAATGCACCAAGCCTATATACAGGGTGACGCCTCTCATACCCTGCGGAGGCTCCAAGAAGAACGATAATTTGTATTGAAATGAAATTTTGTTAGCATATGTAGGTTGATTCAGAGCACTTTTTAAAAATATAGAGAGTTCTACAGGGTGTCCCCAAAAAAAGTTACTTATCAAAGTTGTGTTTTTTGTAATGGATCACCCTATATATTAATTGAATTTCGGATTCTGGGAGAAAAATAAAGGTGAGTTTTATAAGATAACGATATGACTAAAATGTAAGGTTTTTGACATATTTAACATTTTCTAGAAATAAAGAACAATTTTTAAATTACAATA